GCAGGGCCTGTTCTGCGGCTGAGGAACCTCTCGGTGCCCCCGTGTGCCGCACGGCACCCGCTGCCGCGGAGCAGCGCTTTCCCCGTGTGCTGTTCGCCCCCGACGTAACTCGTGCCGCTTCCTAGTGTTTACACGTCCCGGACTGGAACTTCAGCCCGCGTCGCGCTGGGGGGCGAACAGCTCGGGCACGTTGTCAGCGCAGTCTCCTCAGCTGCGCGGTGAGCCTTTCCCGCCCCGGTACGTGCCAGTAGAATGTTACACGGGGTGCAAATCAAGCTCCTTTAGTTAAAGCAGTTGGATGTTAAATACATGGAAACTGGTATTTCTGAACAGAGTAGCAGTTCAACTCTGTAAGGCCCCGTACACACCCTTTGACGGAAAGTCCCCGGTATAGTGATGTTGGTGTCCTCGCCCCGAGCAAACCGCTCATTATTAAATAAACGCCACCGGTCCGGAGAGTTGAAATGGACTGGAGCAGCTCGTTGTTCTTCATCCCATCAGGCTATGGTGGTTTTCAGATAGGCTGTCTTGTTCCATGTTCCTCATATTGAACTTGATAAAAAAAAAAAACAGAAACTAAAAAATCTCTGTGTTCTCCAATGTGGGAGAAAAACAGCAAAGCCAGAAATGCATCTTAACATTCTTACTGCTAATCGCATCTGGGTCTTCTGCCACTTCCCATCAGAGCTGCTCGTGTTTGCTGGCTTCTGTGTTTGCACGGGATGTGTTCAGAGTCTGTTGTTCTAGCTTGCTCCTGCGGATCAGGAGTTACCTCTTGCAGCCTTGGGCACCTCTTGGTGGATTTCATCTCCTGAAGGACCAAGTGTTGAGAAGCACAAGATGATGAAGGTATGAGGGAACTTTTTTTTTTTTCTTCCCTTGGTAGACTCAGAAATAACAGTCCTTACACCTTGCTTGATACCTGCTTGTTGGAAAAGAGGTTTGTATTTCCTAACTTTGACAGGAAGAATGGACCAAATATTTAATACCCAAGGATTTAATACCCAAGGGTCATGCTGCATGACCAAAAATAACTTATTTTCCTAAATGCTATTTTTGTAACCCCACCATGACGAGAAAAGATTTATCTTAAATCTGTTTATGAGGCTTATACTATCTTAAAAACATTAAAGGATTTTAAGGACCCTTTTAAGTGACCAGAGAGACAGAGTCAGCCTGTTTCAAAAGCAGGGTATTTTTACACGATGCATTCACCTGTTTTCTTGTAGATGACTGAACAGGGACACTACTTTAGTATGTTCCTTCGGCAGCCAAAGATCTGCAGTGCAAAGCAAAAATAAACCCATTGTGTTTCTGTTTATGAAGGAGTTTTGAATGATACTTCCATTGAATACCTCAGAATCTCTTGCAATCACACATTTAGGCTGGGAAGGATGATCTCCAAGCATGGGAGATGGCTAAGTTGCGAGTTACATGATTCACATGATATACTTAGGAATTAAGGGCAGATCCACTTGAGTAGATTCACCAGGAGCTACAACATAAAAATCAAGAGAATTTTCTTGCATTTCCTGTGACACCAGTGAACTGGGTGTTTCTGGCAATAATAAAGTATTTGGCTGCAAACCTGTTGTGCAGAGGCTTAAACTTGTTACGCCTTCATAAGACTGTGATGGGCCTGTCCACCTCATACTCACTTACAGCCAGTTTTGAAATCCAGCTGCTCTGTTTGTACCGTGTCTCCTTTCCAAAACAATAGAGGCCATATTGATTAAACTTGCCAGCTTGGACAGACAAAGTGGGGGTGGCTTGTGTTCAGGTTACACACATTTCTACTGTGCTGTGAAACACAAAGCAGCCCTTGTTGAAGCCCCTCCAAAAAAGTTTATAATCCAAAGTGTATGTGTTTTTTGTTTATTTGTGTTTCATTTTCTCACTGGCTTTTCAGTGTGGAAAAAGGATCCTTTCTACCTTACTACATCTTGACAGCAGAAGCAAAAATGGGACTTGAAGAGATTTTATTTCATGCTAGTTTTTTCATGTTGTGTGAGAAACTTTAAGTTTCTGTGAAGTTGAAACATAGCTGCTGTTACGTATTTCCTCTCCTTAAGACTTTTTTGCCCTTATCTCTAATAGACACATGTCAGTAAACTGTCCCTGGCACATGATCCTGGGGTAAATTGAAGGGCTGGGAGCTCAGACCAGGTTTGTGGCTTTTTGCACAGTGTGTCAGTTCATGGTGCAATTCTTTGTAGTGTTAGGTGTGGGGAAAAAGTGAATACAAATAAAAGGTTTGGAAGACTCAGTGGGAGGAGGTAGTCACAAGTGTGGGTGGGCAGGCCAAGGATACTCCTTTCAGCAGTAGTTCCAAGCTGGCTGTGTGCAATTGGACCTGAATCTTTTACATAAAGCAGGACTTCACAGGTCTGTAACTTAGGTGCAATTCCAGGTATACAAGGCTTATGGCTCTTAAATCCAATTTGTTTCCCATTCATATAGGTATCTCCATGAAGTGTATGCACATGTGTATGCGGGGGGAAAGGGATGGGAACTTGGGCAGGCAAAATAGGACTGGTAACCCACTAAATTACTACCCTGTCCATATCCTGTGGAAGCTGTGCAACAAAGGTATTGGCAAAGGCAGAAGTACATATTCAGGGCTTTGACTGGCAGACACAGAGATCTGAGGGCAGCATGCAGAACTGGGGGAGGAAGAGACACAAGCAGAATGCAGTTTTTGCACTGCTTCATCACAGCACAGTTCCTGTCGGCTCTCAACACTGAACCTGCCATTTCTGTGGGAAGTGGAAAATTCCAAAACTACTATTTTAAAATTCCTTGGGATCACAACTCCTGAGCTCAGTTCTGTTTAATAACAGAAGAAATGCTGTACTGCAGCTGTTTTGCCTAACCTAAGTTGGAACTCAGGCTGAAGAAACAAGAGAAAGTTGCTGCAAAGTGATCTTCATGGTGAACCCAAGCATGTGACATTTACTTAAAATAGTTACATGCATTAAATTCTTGCAGCAGGGAATTAGTGTCTGCCTTGACCTTATTCTCACATGTCCCTGGGCAGCTCAGTAAGTATCTCCTTTTTTGGCCTGTGAGTATATGCAAGTGCATCTTTCTATAAATGCAGAACTTGAGTTTAATAACACGAAGAAAAAGAAGGTGCTGTGCACCTTCAAATGGCAGTCTCTCTTAGGAACACTTGAATAAATACATGTAGCTATCTAAAATACTACAAGCAGAACTGTCCAGTGAACTTCTCCATGCTAAGCAATACAAAGCAAAGCCAGATGTACAGATCAGTTTATCAATCCAACATACATGTTGACATAAACACACAGTCTTGGCTTTATTTACTTTTAAGACAAACCTCAAAAAGCTGTAATGTGAACTACCAACTTTCATAAGGGGAATTATTAGTGAGTAGTGAATGTGAGTTTTGCCATCATGTATTTATTGCCCTTTTGCAAGTAATTTATGCTTTTCCTTATCGGCAGTTCTCATGTTGACTCAGTTTTGTTTGTTGCAAAAGCTTCTGAGGAGATTAGAAACTTGGCAGCTGTACAATAAGACTGCATGGAAATACATAAGCTATACAAGATTATGTATTTGATTACTATGTTATGAAAATATAATTAATGTGTTCTATGATTAAGCAATCATGAACTTTGAACTGAGGTTGCGTGGCCAGCCTTGGTGTTTTACTTAGGTTTGTGCTTACTACTGCTAGAAGTTGAGAGAATAAAAGATCAGCTTGCTCACACTTGGCTATGAGGGAGATTTTCCAGGTCTTTGCATGTGGACAGAATCAGTCTCATTCAGGTATGGTGTGTACTGCAGACACTGATGTTGAAATACGCACATATATTGACAGAAAAAATAAAGTTCATAGTTTCCAAATGAAACACAGAAGTTGCATAAGGGCAGTTATTGCAGAACAGCTAAACATTTCTTTTGACTTTTCCCACCTAGGTCATGTTTCATAAGCTGCAGATCACATCTGATCACCTCCTTCTCCTTTCTAGACCATGGCAAGTTTGCCATGTCTCTGCTGAGCTGCAGAGTACCAGAATGAACTCCAGTCGTGTTCTCCATCGACGGCTTCGACTGTGCCAAGTAATAAAGTGAAATTATTGCTTTCCAGGTTTCCTATGCAAAGTCACTTCTAGCGGCCAGAATTAGACTTCAGTTCCTGTGCAGCAACCTGGTGCTGCTGACAGGCGTTCAGCTTCCGTTAGCTACCTGCATGGGATTGCTTTGTCATTATTTTGGCTATTTTGAATTCATACACCTGGTTTCAACTGCCAATATGTAGCGTGTTTTTTTGTTTTGTTTTGTTATTAAAGTTCACCTGTTTGATCTCTGATTATTTCTTGTATGGATCAGTAAAAGATGATTCTGAATTCCTGCTTCTACCTGCTCGTGGCGTTCACCAGTTTGGTGTCACTTACCAGTTTTAGAAACACATCTTCCATTCCCTCCTTTAAGCCATTACCAAAATATTGAACAGACCCGACCTGCCTGAAGAGCTGGAATTCAGCGATGCCCCCACCTTGTGTCTGCAGCGTCTGCTCTGTCTGGTACCTGGAAATTAACCTGTTGGTGCCGGGGCGGTTGCCCTGTGAGATGAAGGAAAGGTCAATACCCTTGGCGAACGGAGCAGAGCATCCGGCTTCCCGCGGGATCAGCCCCCAGGGACAGGCGTGCACCTGCGCAGCGGGTTCCCATGGCGCAGCAGGGTGTCGGGCCGGGCCTGCTGGGCTGCCCGGCCCCGCG